TGGATTTTGGGAAGGAGATAGAAGTGGGCGGTGCAGGGTTGGGGAACGATGAGGTTGGAGGCAGTGGGTGGGAGGTCACCTGGGGTGATGAGGTTGTGGATGGTTTGGGAGATGATGTTTTGGTGGTCAGGGGTGGGGTCATGATCAAGGCGGCGGTAGGAGGAGGTGTAGGAGTGTTGGGGACTGCTTTGCAGAATACCTATGCTTGGTTCGCACTGAACTACTGCACCTCGCAGTCGCGAACCATTTCAACTCCCCCTCCCATTCCTCAGATGACATGGCCATCCTGGGCCTCCTGCAGTGCCACAATGATGCCACCCAAAGATTGCAGGAACAGCAACTCATATTCTGCTTGGGAATCCTGCAGCCCAATGGTATCAATGTGGACTTCACAAGCTTCAAAATCTCCCCTCCCCCTACCACATCCCAAAACCAGCCCAGCTCATCCCTGTCTCCCTAACCTGTCCTTCCTCCCACCTATCCCCTCCTCCCACCTCAAGCCCCACCCCCATCTCCTACCTACTAACCTCATCCCACCCCCTTGACCTGTCCGTCCTCCCTGGACTGACCTATCTCCTCCCTAACTCCTCACCTACACTCACCTTTACTGGCTCCATCCCTGCCTCTTTGACCTGTCTGTCTCCTCTCCACCTATCTTCTCCTCTATCCATCTTCTATCCGCCTCCCCCTCTCTCCCTATTTATTTCAGAACCACCTTCCCCCTCCCCCATTTCTGAAAAAGGGTCCAGGCCCGAAACTTCAGCCTTCCTGCTCCTCTGATGCTGCTTGGCCTGCTGTGTTCATCCAGCTCTACACCTTGTTATCTCTGATTTCTGTCTTGACCTTCTCAAAGATTGAGCTTCCACAGCCCTCAGACTAGATAATTCCGAAGATTTATGACTGAGTGAAGAAATTTAAGCTCATCTCAGTATTAAATGGCCTGACCCTTATTCAGAGATTACCTCCCCTGCGACTAGACTAATCAGCCAGTGGAAACATCTTACCCACATCTCTTTTTATAAGTTTCAGTGAAATCACCTTTTATTCTCTGAAACTATAGAGAACACAAGCCCATTAAGCAAATCCTCCACTCCAGAGATTAATCTGGTGAACCTATGTAGCACCCCTTCTATGGCTTTTTAGACAATTACGGCAAGACATCTTTAATTTGGTTCTCATATCTCCTAACATTGAAGAAGCCCTGACGCATGCTTCTCTCATTTTGCTGCACCTACCAAATAGCTTATAGTGACTCATGGACAAAGACACCCAGATCTTTTTGGATGTCCACGCTTCCCAAACCATCACCATTTCTGATTTGATTGATTTTTCACTGGAGTGAAAAACTTTACACTTATTCATATTATGTTCACTCAGCCTTACCTAATCATCTTGAAGCATCCATGCAGCCTTTTCTCAATTTACATTCCTGCCTAATTTTGTGTAACCAGCACTTTAAGAGATATTTCATTACAATGATATATTCCATTAAGAAGACTGGTTAGCGTATTAGTTGTTGATATGGTTAGTGTTTGGTTAGTGTGAGATATGGAGAGATAGTTTAGTGTGAGTTATGGTGAGGTGTGTTCGTGTGTGACATGCCATGCTCGGTTAGTGTGTGATATGATGAAGTTGTATCACACACAGAACATGGTCAGTTAGTGTGTAAATATGGTGAGGTGTGTCGGTGTGTGATATGGTGTGCCAGTTGTTGCATGATATGATTTGTCGTGCACTGCCTTCTTATTCTGTTCTTCGTGAGCTATTTTAAATTGCTTCTTTTTTCCTCCTTAAGTCTGTCTATGTTCCTCATGCTCTGGCTTTCAGGAGATCATATACATACAAGGTAGAGTGCATATAGAATGTGTATCAGTAGTAGGAGATAGCAGTGAACAGGAAGCAGCACACAAGCAATCCTAAAAGCACACTGAAACCACTCTGCACTGTATCCAATCTGAACTCACATTGAATTTAAAACACAAGAACAGTCCAATTGTTCTGTTCCATGTTTTTGCTCCACATGACCCTCTTTATTCATCTCACTCTATCAACAAATCCTTCTATTCCCTTCATCTTTATATATTCATCCAGCTTTCCCTTAAGTACATCTGTATTATTCAACTTGATCATGCTTTCTGTTACCGGATTCCTCATCTCACTGTGCTTTGTGGTTTCCCTGAATTAATAAAATTGTAAAACCTCACAGCACGGAAATAGTGTCCATCATCCCCATGATGGCTCCTTGAAAGTTCATTCACCGGAGCAACTACAGATAGGCGGCAGATGTTGGTCTCGCCTACATTTTTCACATCCCAAAAATAAACAGAAAATAATTCTTCCCACTTCCCCACTTTATGTCTGTAACCCTGTAAGCCCCTCATTCTTGTAGTCCAACTCTTTTACAATTGTGCAAGGATCGGCTTCTTTTCAGAAGAATGTTCTATATTCCAACCACTCTGGAGTGGTAAAACAGAGCCAAAGAAACATATAAATCCCCTCTTGATCCTCTGCCAGTTTAGAATGTCTGGATTACAAGAAATAATCATTTTTCTCTCACGTCTCTTTGGAAACCTCTAGGGAGTCGCCTTTGACACCTTCCCCATTCAAAACAGAATAATTAACTTTTCCAACCTTAACTCCTAGCTGAAATTGCTCACCCCTTCTGTGATGACTAAGGCTGTGGGAAGTACACTGTCCCTTTAGTCTCAAGGCTCCAGGGTCTCCCCATGAAATTAAAATATTATATCTTATCCCAGTAAGGATAATCATATGCTTTGTCTAAAACTTGGAATGAAGATATCAGATGATGAGGGTGCCAAGTAAAAGACAAAGGGAGAGCTAATGGTAGTAGAGGAGTGATCTCTATGCAAAATAGGTATTAATGGTATAAAAATAGAAACCACAGAACTGAGTTTCCGTAGAAGAGTCCTATTTTTGATAATCTTTGACTGCTTCCTTAGTCAAGAATCTACCTGCATCTGCCTAAAAAAATTTAATAACTCTGTCTTCACCACTTTCTATGGGAGAGAGTTTACAGACTCTCAAGCCTCTGAATGAACTGCAGCAACAAGTTTCATTCCTCATGTTTCCTGTGGATACTGGTTATAAAAATGGAGGGAAGGGGAAGGAATCTGCAGAATAAAGTGTGATGGGCACAGTGAGATGAACAGTATGATAAGCTGTGGTCTCTTTGGGATGGGAGGGAAGGCAGATGTTGTGAAAATGGATATCAGGACAAAAAGGAAGAAATTGGCCAATGGGCTATCCTTTGCTGATTTCCCATTTGTAATAACCACTAATCATTTTAAGACAGTTGGTGACTTTTTAAATTTATTCATTCACGGGATGAGGGCGTCACTGGCTAGGCAGCATTTATTGCCCATCCCTAATTGCCGAGAGGGCAGTTCAGAGTCAACCACATTGCTGTGAGTCCGGAATCACGTGTAGGCCAGACCAGGTAAGGATAGCAGTTTCCTTCCCTAAAGGACGTTAGTGAACCAGATGGGTTTTTCCAACAATTGGCAATGATTTCATGATCATCATTAGATTCTTAACTCTTTTACTGAATTCAAATTTCACCATCTGTCATGGCAGGATTCAAACCCAGGTTCCCAGAACGTTACCAGGCATCTGGATGAACTGTCCAGCTATTACACCACTAGGCCATCACCTCTCCAATCCTGGCATTGCTGTGCTTCCTTCATTATACCACCCTGTCTTGTTGTGGTCACCTAGTTCTGTAAAACATATCTGATTAGCACATCTAGTGATTTACTGTCCATGCTTTCTAGCAGTAGATCCATTCTGTTAGTTCCCTCAAGTGAATCCAGTAGATTGCTTCAGCCACTTGTATCCTGCCAATTGATCCAGTCATGTGTGTTGCCTGAACATACTTATCACTCGTAGTCACAGGATACTGAAAAATTGGAGTCAGCCTCAACCTCAAGAAGACTCAAGTTCTTTACCAACCCATCACAGGGCAAGCTCCATTCCATCCCTCCTCAACATAAATGGAGAATTCCTCCCAAATGAGAGACATTTCCCCTACCTGAGGAGCCACCTCTCATCTAAGGCTAACATTGATGCAGAGATTCAACATTGCATTCAATCTGTGAGAGCAACCTTCTGATGCCAAAGGATGAAAATCTTCAATGACTATGACATCCATGCTTCTGTATGGTTTCAAAACTTGAGGTGGCATCTATACCTAGTTCAAGACCCTTGAGAAGTACCATCAACTTTGAGATGGACTCTCCACATCAGCAAGGAGGACAGGCGTACTAATATCAGCATCCTTGAAGCAGCTAACAGCACCAGATTCGAGGCCATGATCATCTGAAGCCAACTGTGCTGGGCTGGCCACGTGATTAGGATGCCTGAGTTCCAACTGCCAAAGCAAATCATCTTCACCCAGCTCAAGGAAGGAACTTGAATGAAAGGAGGACAAAGGAAACATTTCAAAGACGCCCTAAAGGCTTCCCTCAAGATTTTACAACATAGATCTCAAAGCATCACAGATCCTTGTTCAGAAGAAACCAACTTGGAAGCTTCTGTGTAAAGGACCACAATTCTTTGAGAATGTCCGTCGGCAAGAGGAAGTATGGAAAAGGAACTGGAGAAAGGAATGCAGTGATTTCAAGGCCAAGGACCAATTCCACCTCCCAGAAACACCTGCCAAACATGTGGTCGGAGGTGTGGCTGTTGGATCAGGCTGATCAGGCAAACAAGGACTCTCTGAGACCATGACCAGTGACACAATCAGATCTGATGATGACTACCTATGAGTGAATTTAGTGATGTGCCCCTGACACAGGATATGTTTTTGACTATGTGCAGACTTAGAAGTAGATCCAACGGTATATTCAGTCTGTGTATTAAGTGGATCTAGTAGTTTGCTGTATCTCTGTGCTCCTCGCTGGGGAAGAACATACCAATATTTCATGGTATTTTTGCATATTCAGCTATTGAGCAGAGGTGAAAACTTGTTTCTCTAATTTCAGAAACCCTACACTGAGGAGGAGCTCAATTCCAAGCTGACTCGGAGGGTGCAAAGGGCAGCTCGGAGACAGGCCAAGCAGGAGGAGCTGAAAAGGCTGCACAGGGCACAGGTCAGTAAGCAAGACCTGGGATCTCCCATGACAGGGACCAAGCTGGGTGAAGGTATCAGTGCAGTGAGCAATGCCAGTCTACCTGTGTCACCCAAATGGGAAGACCCCGTTCCAGCTGAAGTACATCCTGCTCAATCTGACCCAGTATATTACACCTAATGCCATACACTTTACTTTTGTTCACTAACATTCTGTGTGGGATTTTACAAAAAGCCTTCTAAAAATCCAATTTCCCTTATCCACCCTTGTACTGTACATTATACTAGGGTACACCATGTTACGCTAGGGTATACTATATCTATAATGGTACACTATGTTACACTAGATTACACCTAACCCACAATGTTACACTCAGGCACACTATATCAATGATGGTACAGTATGTTACACTAGATATTCTTTACCCACAATGGTATACTATATTGCATAAGAGTTCACTATACCCATAATTGTACACGAGGCTACACTATACCCACAATGGTGCTCTAGGGTCATAGAATCCCTACAGTGTGGAAGCAGGCCATTCAGTCCATCGAGTCTACAATGACCTTCCAAAGAGCATCCTACCCAGATCCAGACCCCCACTTTGTCTCTTCAACCCTGCATTTCCCATGGCTAATCCACCAAACCCACACATTCCTGGACACTATGGGCAATTTACCATGGCCAATCCACCGTAACGTGCATATCTTTGGACTGTGAAAGGAAGCCCACACAGACACAGGGAGAAGGTGCAAACTCCAGACTGACAGTCACTTGAGGCTGGAATCAAACCCAGAACCTTGGCACTGTGAGGCAGCAGTGCTAACCACTGAACCACTGTGCCGCTGCTATGTTACATTCGAGCACACTATATCCGTAATGGTACACTATGTGCACTAGGGCATACCGCATCTATGATGTGAAGGTTGTTGAGCTCAGTTGGCCAGACGGCCAGTTTGTGATGCAAAGTGATACCAGCACCATGGGTTCAATTCACATACCTACTGAAGTTACCATATAGGATTCGCCCTCTCAACCCTCCCCTCACATGTGTCGTGGTGACCCTCACATTAAACCACCATCAGTTGTCTGTCATGAGAGAGGAGCCCTATGGTCTGGTAGGACTATGCAGAACTTTACCTTTGTCAATGATGGTATCGCATGGTAGAGGATGTTCTAGTCACTATCAAAGTCAGCCTGATTTAGCTGCTTTGTTTCAACAGATTATTCAGCGACAGCTCGAGCAGGTGGAGGAGAAGCAGCGTCAGCTGGAGGAGAGAGGTGTGGCTGTTGAGAAAGCTCTCCGTGGAGAAGCAGGTACCTGTCCCTTTTCTCTGTATGTCTACAAAGGGCCACGCCAGCTTGCAAGCTTAACTGATAAACGCACATTAACTTCCTACAGGTTAAGGATGGACTGGATGCTGGCAATATACCTCACAACTTAGGGCATACGTTGTTCATTTTTGAGAAATGTGTCTTCCCAATCCGCCTTTAAGGTGACCCGATCACTCGGGGTCATTCTCTGACCTGTTCTGCATCACACCCTACCCCTCCAAGGGTCAAACTGTGACTCATCCAGGGGTCAATCCCTGTCTTGTCAAGGGGTCAATCCCTAACCTGTACAGGGTCTCTCATTTCCACCAGAGGTCAATCGCTGACCTGGCCAAGTGTCAGTGAACTTTAGTTTGTAACAGCAAAGTGTTTTAATTGTGGGTAGCATGATGAATGTGTTGTTTTCTTCCAGCTCCTCTGTCCATTCAATTTATCCTTCCAATGTCTATTGTGGTGCTGAGTTCAGAGCTGGTGTTTCTAGTTGCAACACTGTGCGCAGTGCTGCAGAAAAAAGTGATACAAGAGTCAAGGAAATTTGTTCAGCACCTTGTTCTTCTTATTCTGACAGGATCATTTCTCACCTCACCCGATGAGGTGTCGACATTTCCTGGACTTTTTCTGTCTAAATGCTATTTTTCACATGAATCTCAACAGTTAATGTGAGCTGATCAGCCACAAAAGTATCACAAAGGTGCCCACACCACACACATTGGATGGAGATGCCACACTGGAAAGTCAGCCCTTTCTCTCCTGTCAAACTGTGTATTCCACACACACTAGTCATGCTGTCCTCAAGTGACTCGGCCATGCAGCTGTGGGCTGCTCCTCATCGACTTCCTTCTGGTCAGTATTAAAGGTGGAAAGGGCTAAATGTTTTCAGGAGTGGATTTATCACCAAACAGATTACACTGACTATCAGCTTGTACGTGTCTCTGCTACTTCACAAACACCCTCATTCTGGGCTCCAAACTGTGATGGGTTTCTGACTGGCCAGTTTTTCTTTTTCTCTCACTGTTTTCATTGTCTGCATGTTTCCTGATCAATGAGGCAGCCCAGATAGTGCAGCATTCACAAGAGGCCAGCATAAAAAAGAGCAAACTGGAATAACAGGCAGTCCATTCTATCACCTGGCAAAACCACATGACCAAACATATCCTCAGTACAATCACTTGGTCAATACAAGGTAACAGGGATAGTAACACGCTGTAACAGGGGTAGTAACACACTGTCACAGGGGAGTAACGGACTGTCACGGGAATAATGGACTGTCACAGAAGTAACACGGTGTCACAGGGAGTGTCACAGGGAGTAACACAGTGTCACAGGGGTAGTAACATACTGTCACAGGAGTGACGCACTGTCACAGGGAGTAACACAATGTCATGTGTAGTAACACACTGTCACAGGGAAGTGACACACTGTCACAGGGGAATGATGCACTGTCACGAAGTAATGCACTGTCACAGGGATAGTAACACACTGTTACAGGGGAGTGATGCGCTGTCACAGAAAGAGTACTGCACTGCCACGGAGTAGCACACTGTCACAGGGAGTAACACACTGAGACAGGGAGTGATGCACCATCACAAGAGGGTAAGAGGCTGTCACGGGGGAGTGACGCAGTGTCACAGAGGGAGTAATGCACTGTTACAGGGGGAGTGACGCACTGTCACAAGGATATAATGGACTATCACAGGGAGTGACGCACATTCACGGGAGTAACGCTGACACGGGGGAGTAACACACTGTCAAAGAGTGATGGACTGTCACGGGGAGTAACGCACTGTCACGGGGAGTAACGCACTGTCACAGGAAGAGTAATATACTGCCACAGGGGGAGTAACGGGCTGTCGCAGGGGAGTGACGCAGTGTCACTGAGATAATAACAGACTGTCATAGAGAGTAACATAGACTTTTACTCTCCAGTGACACTATCACAGAGGGAGTAACAAACTGTCACAGGGGAGTAACACACTGTCACAGAGGAGGGACACACTGGACAGGAATGCATTGCCCATGGAGAAAAGTATGTGGCATAAGATTTGGTGGAGAAGACTGCTGCTTATGCCCAGTTTGGATTTCTGAGCTGCCTCTTCTGTAGCATGTATATGTGTGTATGCATGTTCTTTATTGCCTGTTGCCTGGCACTGTACATTAACTCTTTCTAATCTTATTATAGACTATTGGGGAGAGTCTAGTTACAGTGAAATCCTCGACTTGCATCTGGGTGGTACGTATGGCTGTCCTTCTGCATTCCTAACCTGCTGACTTTCACCCCTCTTTCTAATTCCTTTCCTGTCAGTTCCCTCCCTGGCTGCATCCCTTTCATTTTAGTTTCAGCTGGTTCTAGTGGCTGCGTCCTCACCCCTGGCTGGTCCAGTGTCTAATGAACTAAGAGGGATCCTGCTTGGTAGGAGCAGGATAGAAGCCTGCTGTCTCTAAAAACAGTAATCGGTCACATGCTTGTCAGCTGATCTCCCCTTATGTCAAGGGTCAGTTCCTGGGTGTGTCTGTGTCAGCTGATCACAGCCCCTTGGTTTGTATAAACACTGTTATTGACCTGAGTGCCATTCGAATAGACAATCAATTAGAAACTGTGTGTGAAGTCTGGGAGAAATGGAAGATACTGGAGACCGTTTGTAATGGGGTGCTGGTTGGTAATGTAGAGGACTGGATAGTAATGGGGAAATGAATTGTAATACTTACAGTAAGAAAGGGAATTTTTTTTAGATTTCTTCATGAGATTTGTTGGCCATCCTCAGTTGCCCTTGAGAAAATTCTGGTAAGACACATTCTTGAACCGCTACAGAGATGGGTGGTGAAAGAAAGAGTTGGGTGGTAACACAGAGAGGGACAGATATTATCAGAAAGACAGATATATTGGAGACAGATGGTAACAGAGCGATAGATGGTAATGAAGAGTCAGAAGGTAACAGAGAAATGGACAGTAATGGAGAGATGGATTGTCGTACAGAGTTTGTAATGGATAGATGGCAGTTAATAGAGAGAATTGATAATGGAGAAATGGAGATTAATGAAGAAATTGTAATGAAGAAATAGAAGGTAACAGAGATAGAAAATATTAGAATTTGTAAAGGAGAGGTGAATGTTGACAGATTGTAGTGAAGAGATGGAGAGTAACAAAGAGATGGCTGGTACTGGAAGAATGAATGTTAATAAAGATTAGTATGGTCAGTTAAAGAGAGATGGCCTGTAAGGAAGAATGGGTTGTAACAGAGAGACAGATGGTGGTGGAGAGAGGGCTGATGTGAGGAGGGATAATGGTGGTTGGAGAGAGGGTGATGGGGACAGTGTGATGGAGGAAGGGATGGTGGATGGACGGCTGATGGTGGAGGGAATATGATGGAGAGAGATCGTCATGGAGGGAGGGAGGAATGGTGGAGAGACAGATGGTGGTGATGGATGGATGATGGCAGAGAGGGAATGTGGTAGAGGGAGGGAGGGTATGGAGAGACATGCTCATGGAGGAAGGGAGGAATGGTAGAGAGACAGATGGTTGTGGATGGACAGATGATAAAGATTGACAGATGGTGGTGGATGGACGGATGACATCAGAGAGACGGATGGTAATGGATGGACAGAGGGTGAAGGATGGATGGATGCTGGTGGAGGGAGGGAGGATGATGGAGAGACAGATGGTCATGGAGGGAGTGAGGAATGGTGGAGAGACGGATGGTGGTGGATGGATGGACAAATGGTGATGGATGGACGGATGTTGTGGATTGACGGAGGGTGATGGAGAGATAGATGGTCATGGAGGAAGGGAAGAATGGTGGAGAGATGAATGGTGGTGGATGGATGGATGATGGCGGATGGACGGATGATGGCAGAGAGATGGATGGTGATGGAGGAAGGATTGGTAGTGAAGAGAGGCAAGGACAGTGCTGTTATAGCAAGATATCTGTCCAGCTGTTTTTATTTGACCTTTCAGTTGCAGCACAGAGCCCTGAATGTTTTGACATTGGACCAGTATCATTGACATCAGTGAGTGGTATCCAGATTTCATTCCTACATGTCTGTGTTAGTTAACACTGTGAGCATGCTCCTCGCATGAATTTAAATTTCAGTTGCATGGTGGTACTGAATTTGAATCTTTTTGAAGAGGTGCATGTTGTTAAAGCTATTTGTTTTGCACTTGTCAGGACAACCACAAGAATACCAAATTTCAAAGAATCGCCACAACTTTTACAGAAGAGTGTGCTGATTGGTTGGCAAGTTTTGAGTGACTTGAACAAAAAGTTCAGGAGGATGTTTCATGCTGCTGTTGTGAAGTGGTGATATGAGTGGTGCTTTCCACAAACAGGATGCTGTCCTTAGCCCAAACAGACGCATCAAAGAATTGAGCCCCTCGTGTTTGAGTTTGACTGATGCCTGGTATGGAGGCATTACTTTGTAGCAAGTAGCTGATTGAGTCAAACAGCAAGTTCCTTTGATTGTGTATGACAAGTAGAGTACAGACCTACTCAGCCTCAACACAATATGAAATGTCGACTGTTAGACGTACTTCTGCAATTCAGTGCTTGCAGAGTAATCCTAAGTGCATTAATACCTACACTACAGCCAATTGTAGATCATCAGCTGAGTTTGTAACATGGCACATTGAACTTGTTGAAAGCAACATCCATTCCTAACCAGGAACCTGTTTTGTGTAATCACAACCTAGATGTTTCAGCCTTGAGGAATGTTTCATGACCCAGGAGCTCAGGAAGCAGTAGATCTCTGTTGCTATTTCATAGAATCCGTACAGTGTGGAAACAGGCCATTCAGCCCAGCAAGTCCATACCCACTCTCTAAAGAGCATCCCACGCAGATCCACCCACCCTACGCTATCCATTGTAACCTTGCATTTTTTCCCCAATGCTATTCCACCATACCTACACATCCCTGAACACAATGGGCAATTTAACATGGCCAATCCACCGTAACCTGCACATCTTTGGACTGTGGAAGCAAACTGGAGCACCCAGAGGAAACCTACGCAGACACAGGGAGAATGTGAAAACTCCACACAGACAGTCGCCCGAGGCTGGAATTGAACCTGGTCCCTGGTGCGGTGAGGCAGCAATGCTAACCACTGATCCACCGTGCTGCCCCATCCATAGCAATGCCTCAGAAAATCCAAGTCAACCTGCCAACCAATCACCACTCTCTTTTTCTAACTTATAATTTGATGTTATTTTTTAAATCTGGCATTCTCAACTTTGTTCTGATGACTAGAAGACAAAAAGCTCTACAATATGCTGCTTTTTTCAGACATTTAACATTCTAGATTATATCCGGACTGCTCCACCTTCCCATCACTGTCCACACTCCGTTCCAACATTGGGATTGGACCTGGATTCCACCTCCTGCCGCTGTCCACAATCCACTCCGACACTGGGATTGTTCCTGGATTCCTGCTCTTCCCCATCACTGTCCACAATCCACTCCGACATTGGGATTGTTCCTGGATTCCCTCTCTTCCCCATCACTGTCCATAATCCGCTCCGACATTGGGATTGTTCCTGGATTCCTCCTCCTGTCACCACTCACAATCCTCTCCGACGCTGGGATTGTTCCTGGATTCCTCCTTCACCCTATCACTGTGTACACTCCACTCCGACATTGGGATTGTTCCTGGATTCCTGTTCCTCCTCCTGTCACTGTCCACAATCCGCTCCAACATTAGGACTGTTCCTGGATTCCTCCATCTGTCACTGCCCACACTCCAGTCCAACATTGGGATTGTAACTGGATTCCTTCTCTTCCCCATCACTCTCCACACTCTACTCTGACATTGGGATTGTTCCTGGACTCCTGCTCCTCCTCCTGTCAGTGTCCACATTCTGCTCCAACATTGGGATTGTTCCTGGATTCCTCTCCTTCCCCATCACTGTCCACCATCCGCTTCAACGTTGAGATTGTTCCTGGTTTTCTCCTCTTCCCCATCACTCTCCGCACTCCATTCCAACATTGGGGTTGTAACTGAATTCCTCCTCTTCCCCATTACTGTCCACAGTCCACTCCAACAATGGGATTTTTCCTGGTTTTCTCGTCTTCCCAGTCACTATCGACACTCTGCTCCAACATTAGAATTGTTCCTGGATTCCTCCTGTTCTCCATCACTGTCCACATTCTGTTCCAACATTGGGATTGTTCCTGGATTTCTCCAACTGTCACTGTCCACACTCCGTTCCAACGTTGGGATTGTTCCTGGATTCCTCTTTCACCCCATCACTGTGTACACTCCACTCTGACATTGGGATTGTAATGGATTCCTCCTCTTCCCCGTCACTGTCCACACTGCATTCCAACATTGGGATTTTTCCTGGATTTCTGCTACTTGTCCTGTCACTGTGCACACTCTGTTCGACATTGGGAGGTTCCTGGATTCCTCATCTTCCCCATCACTGTCCACACTCTGCTCCAACATTTGGATTGTTCTTGGATTCCTGCTCCTTGTCCTGTTACTGTCCACACTATGCTCCAACGTTGGAATGGTTCCTGGATTCCCCCTTCACCCCTTCACTGTCCACACTCTCTTCCAACATTGGGATTGTCCCTGGATTCCAGCCCCTCCTCCTGTCATTGGCTAAGGTGAAGTTGACACATGTGTTTTGCCAGATGGAGCTCTATTCCAAGTTGTGATGGGCCCATTGTTCAGTAGCCTGCGTATTAATGTCCATCTTGTACTTGAGTCCACAAGTCAGAGGCAATGAGAGTGGAAAGCAGCTGCCAATTGCAGGGGTGCCAGCGGATGTTTCAAGTGCCACTCTTTGATCATCCTGCTGCTCTCTGTGGCTCGTGGTAAAGGGCCAGTCAATGCAAAAGTTACTGATCAGTGTTAAAGCAATTCAAGGCCATGACTATTAGAATCCAGCCATTTGTTTGCTTGTTTTAAAAGAAGACTATAAATTCCTGATGTTCTGTATTAATTCAAATGCTTATTTTAATTACTGTCTCACAGTACCTTCTCCATCACTCTCACACCCTTTTACCTCCCATCTCAAGTAGTGGCTGCATTTGTTAACCAGTGAGGCTGACTTATCTTTTGTGGTTCTGCACTGTTAACATGATCAATGACAGAAGTTGTTTATGCTTTTCTTGTGGAATCTGTTTTCCTATTGCCACACTGGCTCAGGCAAACAAATTTCTTTTGCTCTAGATAGAATAGTTCGCCTGCTGTACAGGCCCCAGCAGCTGGAGTTCTAATAAACTAATCTGATTTAA